CAGAAAGAAACAAGACACCCCACCACACTACCACTTAGAGAGGGTTCTAAAGCTTTTCTCTGACTCCAGGCTGCATTTTAGTTAATCATCATCATCATCATCATCATCATCATCATCATCAGGTTTACCATCTGATTCTTTTTAATCAATCTTGCATTCACTTTGATACATACAGTCTGTCCTCAGACCATGGATTGATTGATCAACTATGGGTCAAAATATTAAAAAGAAAGAGCTGGGCTTGTGGCTCAGTGGTAAAGTGCTTGCCCAGCATGTGTGAGGCACTGGGTTCGATTCTCAGCACTGCATATAAATAAATGAATAAAATAAAGCCCATCAACAACTAAAAATACATATACAATTTTTACAAATATTCAAAAGAAAGAAATTGTGTCTATTTTAAATAAGTACAGATATTTTTTCTTGTCATTGTGCTCTAAACAATACATCATAACTATTTATGTAGCATTTATATTATATTAAGTTTTATAAGTAGGGCAGAGATGATTTAAAGTATTCTGGAACATGTGCACAAGTTATGTGCAAATCCTGTACCATATAAAGGACTTAAGCATCTTTGGAGTTCAGGATCTGCAGGGGGTCTGGGAACAAATCCTCTGTGGATACTGAGGAAGGACTGTATATACTTTATGTATACAAAACCAATTGTTTGCAATATGAATTTCTTCATTTCTCTTACTTGGTTTCTCTTACTCTTCAGCCTTTAAAATCTCACAACTGACCAGCTCATTCACTCTTTCTTTCTTTCTTTCTTTCTTTCTTTCTTTCTTTCTTTCTTTCTTTCTTTCTTTCTTTCTTTCTTTCTTTCTTTCTTTCTTTCTTTCTTTCTTTCTTTCTTTCTTTCTTTCTTTCTTTCTTTCTTTCTTTCTTTCTTTCTTTCTTTCTTTCTTTCTTTCTTTCTTTCTTTCTTTCTTTCTTTCTTTCTTTCTTTCTTTCTTTCTTTCTTTCTTTCTTTCTTTCTTTCTTTCTTTCTTTCTTTCTTTCTTTCTTTCTTTCT